TCTTTGTGTGTGTGTGTGTGTGTGTGTGTGTGTGTGTGTGTGTGTGTGTGTGTGTGTGTGTGTGTGTGTGTGTGTATATATATATATATATCTTTTTTTTTTTTCTTCTCAGGTTGTGTACAATGGAAATCAAAGTGTCCGTGGACGGTCTGCCACGTTTGGTTTGTGGAGTGACAGATGAGACAACATGCCAAGAAGTGGTCACAGTGTTGGCTCAAGCCCTGGGTACGTGCCTATCTGGTGGAAGCTATACATTTATTTTTATGGTATATATATATATATATATATATCTTTTTTTTTTTCTTCTCAGGTTGTGTACAATGGAAATCAAAGTGTCCGTGGACGGTCTGCCACGTTTGGTTTGTGGAGTGACAGATGAGACAACATGCCAAGAAGTGGTCACAGTGTTGGCTCAAGCCCTGGGTACGTGCCTATCTGGTGGAAGCTATACATTTATTTTTATGACCCCCATAAAGTTGAAAACAAAACCATGCCAACATTTTCACACAGGCCAGCCTGGACGCTACATGTTACGCGAGACGTTCAAAGACTTCGAGAGATGCATGGCGCCAGCTGAGCGGCCTCTGGAGATGCTAAAGAAGTACGGGGAACACGCCAAAGACGTCCAGCTCACTTTGCTCCACAGCGGCCCTTCAGTTTCCGACGAAATGAGCAGGGCCAAAGTGGGCCGACACCAGCCTTGTCCGCCACTGCGCAGGAAAGAAACCGGCGCTAGAGGTTGGCCTCGCAGCGGGTCGCTCAATCTGCATCGCCAGAGCTTCCCGCTGTCCTGCTTGAGACGCGACACAGACCAGAACAACGAGCACCTGAAAAGACCCAAAAGAAAGTCCCTGACCTTCATGGAGGAGGCTTGGGAATGGCTGGAGAATCTCGGCAAAACACAAGTTTATAGTACATCTTGCGATCAGGAAAGTGGCAAGAAAAAGCCAGAAAAAAATCAACGAACTTTTCTGAGTGTCACACTTTCCGCCGCGAGGAAGAGTCCACGGGAGCAGAGTCAAATCCGAGGTCACAGAAACTCAAAGTCCGACTTGGACCAGACATCTTGCTGCATGGGAAGCCAGCAGAGGGTGAAAGAAAATAAAAAGTCCAAAAAAACACGTGCAGAGAAACTCGATAGCTTCTCGAATTCTAACAGCGAAGATGAAAAAAATCATCTAAGAGAGACTATCATATGCCAGCTCAGCTACCTTCAAAAGCTCCAGGTCCAGATAGGGTGTGTTGACAATGAGATTTTAGAGCTGGAGGAAAGCGAGAGGACCAGGGAAGAGCAGAAGCTGATTGAAGAAGAAATGGAGCAGATCAGATTCTGGGAGAATGAATTAAAGGCAGAAGAAGAGTTTGAGAGAGATTTGCAGAATCAGTTTCATGACATGAAAGCCAAAGTTGTGGACTGCAAGGCCAAACTGGAAGACTACAAAAACGAAATGCAAAAACTGAACTTCTGTGAAGCGCAAAATGTTGACTCCAAAGGGGGCCGACGAGTTGCAGATGACAATCGGACCAAAGACTCCAACAGGCAGCTCTTTGAGACAGAACTAGATGTAAATAGTGACAGGAAGTGGACGCCCAGAAATTTCAACCCCTCTCCTGCTTCATTTCCCCCAAGTCAGATAAAGGAGCGCCGGCCCACCGGGCCGGCCGAGCTCAGGGAGTGGTGGGCATGCTGGTCTGCAGGCCAAAACTCCAAATCAAACAAAAAGACGACTGAGATACACCGCTCGGAGCTCACGATTTATTTAGGCAGTACCAAAGATTAATGAAGCAAGGGAAAAGTCATTGCGAGTTGTTGGGCACTTTGTTACTATTTTGATATTTCTCATGTAAATGTTTAGAAAGCACCAATGCTGTCAAACCAACGTTGCTTGCATGTACTCCGATATGAAAAGAGATTTTGTCATGACCACCTTAAAGTTACTGCTTACCAGTGTCCACAATCTATTTTCGTATTGTGCCATGGGGGGTGGGGCGGGGGGCATGGGTGCCTGAAGAAATGCCCCTTTCCAATGTTGCCCAAAGTGCCCCCGGTGTCCGAAAAAGCAAGTGTCATTTAGTATTCTGTGGTCAAGTGCCTGCAAGATACTGTCAGGTTTTTGAGAGTCTTTGTATCTTATTCCTGGCCTAAAACAAAATCAAATGCGACTATGATATCTCCCTCCATTGTCTTTAGTGTTGACCTTTACATTTTTTTTTACCATTTCCATGAAAGGAGCTCTTCTTTTGTTGAGACAAATGTTCAGTAGCGTGCGCTAAATTTTTGTTGAATAGACACGAATTTGCATTCTGTGTACATTGTTATATTTAGATTGTTTTTACAAATATAATTTAAAAGTTCCATGTGGTCCTTTCTTAACTTTGAGCCCCCCCCCCCCCAAAGGGCTTTGCATGTCCCTGGTACACAATCAGTTTGGAAATATCCATCCATCAATTTTCTAATCCTTTTTGGAATGTGGGAGGAAACTGGAGTACTCGGCCGGAGAAAACCCACGCAGGCATGGGTTGAACATTCAAACTCCACACAGGAAGGCCCGAGCTGGAATCGAACCCTGCACCTCTGCACTGTGATGCCGGCGTGCTAACCAGTTGCTACTAATTTGGAAAAAATGTTTTGTATACTGTATAACAAGGGGACTTTACAGAAAAGTTACTATACTAATCGTTGGATCTTTCAAGTGCCAAGCAGGTCTACTATGCAATGTCATTGATGGAAGTTAAAAAAATAAATAAATATCACCACTTGATTTTCATAAAACTTTAATTTGCTTATTCATTCAAGACCATTAACGTACATAGGAACCTCTGTACGCGGTTCAACTGAAACCCAGTGACCTCTGCAGACTGATCCTGATTCTGTTGTTTTTTTTTCCTTTTTTGTTTTTAAACTTAGTTTCTAATACCTTACTTTCCCCCCATAAATTTGTTCTCTTATATATGAAGTCTGATTTTAACTAAGGGAAAAAAAAGCACACATTACATACAGTATTGTTTAACCCACAGGTTTGGGATGCATATCATTATCTCTACTTAACAAGAAAGCCATTCAAAGATTGTTCTTTATATCGGTGGCTGGCTGGGAAACAAACAAACCTTTTAAAGCCCCACCACCCACTCTTTATTTTGCTTGTAGGTTTTTTTAGGCACCTTGTTTCTCATAGTAGACTGAGTTTCGATGGAAAAAGCAACATGTGCAAATAATAATAATAATAATAATAATACTAAAAAAAAAAAAAAAAAAAAAAAAAAATTGAAGATATAAAGATGCCACAAGGAATTCTGCACCTGGGAAAAATTGCTTTAGTGGAGCTTGTGAATACCAAAACAAAGTATTGAAAGGCTCCAGCTTGGTAAAATTAAATCCCATTAGAATCGCGCAAACATACACACACACACACACAACCCATGCTTTCAAAAAGCTCTCAAGTCAAGCATTTAAAAACTGCTCCAAAAAAACGAGCAGAGAAAAATCCTCGGTTGAAGCTCGCCCATGAGAAATATGATCCTCCTTATGGAGGGAACTTTTAATTTATGCATTTTGTAGGAAAGCATACAGTAGCAGAAATCTCACAATGAAACCATTTCAAGTGTCTGTGGGTAAAGAAGCAAACAAACTCGGGGAAAACAATATCTGGGAAAAGACACTCAAAAAGACATGCAGTCACGCATGCGCGCACACTCATTCACATCAACTCAACAAATGGACACATTGACAGGTGCAGAATTCCAGAAAAAGCTCATTCCAAAACAATTGGGGGGCACAGATGGCCACACAGTCTGATTTAGTGGGACGAGCCCCTGTCCCTACTCACAGCGATGATACATCACACATGCACACGCTCAAGAGATCTCATGTGCACTCATCAAGAACATCATACGATGGAGGCGGGGGCAGGGGTGGGGCCGGGGGGGAAAAAACTTGCCCCGCATTTATCCATGGCTCCATGAATTATGTGGGCCAATTGCTGCATTGTGTGCGTACGTTCTGGGTTTTAAGCGTAGCGTGACATATCGGGTTCACTAGTCTTACCCCCCCAAAACCGACCCCCTCCCCCGCTTCGACCAGCACCAAACAGTATTGCTCAGTCAATGACACCAGGCTGGCGAGTCTTGCGCTCCACACTGAAGCCCTGTGTGGGAGACAATTGAATTTCATGTTAATAATCGCATGTATGTTCTATTAAAGTGATATCCAGAAATGAAAAGCTGTATGCCATGAAAATCAATTATTCTTACATAATCTATTCTTCATCAAGATTTGGGCACTCTTGGACGAGTGCCCAAATAAATAAAGACGTCATTAAATAAAAACTATCAGTAAAAATGTCATTATTTATTTACTCATATTTCTCAATATATACAGTATTTCTTTCAGCATTTCAATGAAGTATTTATTTCCATATTCATTGGTTTATTTCTGGCACTCCTGGCCGCGAAATGGAAATCTGTCATTGACTCATCAAATTGAGTGGGCAGGATCAGTACGGGACAGTTCTCAACAAAGGCAAATGCCACCCGATGCTGGTGGCCATAAACACGTAGAATCACTAGAGGGAGCCATTTGCGCCAAGAGTCACTTGGCTAGTTCTCTCTTATTGCAAGTACAGGCTAATTTGTGATGGATATGGCGATTGCAGTTGTTTTGATCCGTCTCGACCAGACAAGTCATATCCTGTGCATAGGTCATAAATACGTCGACTTCAGCTTTACATATGGCATGTTGTGATGATACACATGTCTGCAAAGGATCCATGGAGGTATTCGTGAGAGGCTTTGGCGCTTTCAAGACAGAAAGATCCCGATTGTGGTACCTTTGAATTGTCCGGACCACGTGGCTGTCGAACGATGACGAGACGAGGGGCACTGGCGTCGTCCAGAGTGATGCTCTTCAGTCTGTTGACCAGACGGTCAGGACGTGGAGTCACCACCGGTTTTGGCCCCTCACTGCAATGTCAGGGACAAAAGATAATGGAGGTTTAGCTTAGCATGCCACAACAGTAATGTGACACTTTACAAATGACCAGTGGAACAATTTGATGATTGAAAGCCTCAACATGCTCCTACCTGACTCTGCGTACATTGCAGGCACTACATTTTCCTGTGCGTTGATTAAAGACAACCGAAAACTCCACTTCATCTCCAGTCTGGAGCTCCAAGCCATCTTGGACTTCTTTGACGTGAAAGAAAAGCTTCTTGCTGTCACCAACTTCGTATGTGATGAAACCAAACTAGGAGAAGCACAACATACTTCAGATTCCTTTTCTTTCAGCACGAATCCTGTCGTATTGAGTTGGTGCATGACAACAACCTGGTCTTTGACGCACTCCACCAAGGCTCGACGCTGGGGCACCACATTACAGGCCATCTTCTGTCCGGTCTGAGGTATTGTGCAAACCTGGAATTTCACTTGTTCTCCTTTTTGCAGACAGTCAACCTTGTTAGCCATACCCATGATCCCAAAGGGATAACTCTGGCCTTTACCACCACCTGAAACAACCAAAGTGTCGATGAAAAAATTTTTTTTCTTAAAAAAAAAAAAAAACAATCAAAATGCAACTGCAAGATCAGCCCCACCTTCCTCAAGGACCTCAATAAGACCCTGATATTCTGTCTGAGAGGGGTCCACACTGCGTATTGGACGGATGATTTTCCCCACCATCACTGCCGTGCCAACATCATCTCCAATGCCATTCACTGAAAACGGTGGATTTTCCCCTTGTTTATCGTGCGCAAGAAAACCGACGTTTGTTCAGGACAAAACAAAACAAAACTAATCCAAACTCATACCAGCAGCCACTTTGGTGACTTTCTCAGCACTGACTTTATTTCCCTTTCCCTTGGAGAGAGTATACTCCACTGTGTCACCCAACTCCAGATCATCCAAGTCCCCACACATTTCACTGAAAGTTGGAAACAACACACACTTTAACCAAATATGTAGTTATCACTGTTGAGAAAAATCTGAACCTTGAGTTCTCCAAAATTCAGATGAATAATTCAATTTAAAACTTCACCTATAGTGAAAGAAGATCTCCTGGTCGTGATTTGCGGTCTCGATGAAGCCAAAGTTATCCTTCAGTGTGGCGATGAAGCCTTTCAGTCTCTTGCCACCGCAGGCGCTACGGTTAACCACCCGGATGGAAACGGCACTCTGCTGGCCACTTCTTTTCACTTCGTTGATAGAGAACTCCACCTAGAGGTTGAACGTGATCATGTCACACAGTCACCACAACTGAGGAGAGGACTCAAAGGGTTCTGTTTGCAGGGCATCTAGATAAATATATTGTATAGGAAAGCTTAAAACCTAAATTTTCTAATCCGCTTATCCTCACAAGGGTCGCAGAGCGTACTGGAGCCTTTCGCAGCTGACTTCGGGCAGTAAGTGGGGGTACACCCTGAACTGGTTGCCAGCCAATTGCAGGGCACACATAAATGAACAACCAATCACGCTAACAATCATACCTAGGGACAATTTAGAGTAAGCTTAAAACGTCAGATGGAAAATGTTACATACTAGCACGATTCAAAAGAGATTTTCTGCATTTACGGTTTCCCTTTTTCAAAAGGGTCTTTCTCTTAAGGTCTTTATGATCGATGCATTCCCACAAAAAATGCATGGAGCAACCACATTCATGGATGTTCAGACTGTATGATTCATATTACAGCTGAGTGGTGAACGGATAGAATGCAATGACTTAAGTCCAAAGCGTGAGCATTTTGAAGCACGCGCAGTACGATGCTGCACAGCGAGCACACTTTGCGAACCTCCCACCAATTTCTTCAGAAGAGGCGCAAGCAGAATGTCATCACAAACGACTCCTCGTAAGTGCTTGTTCCACATGCTGTAGTCATGATGTTGAAGAACTACGTTGCAGTTTTAAATCAAAGTAAAGCTATTTAAAACATATTCTGAAGTTTCTCTTTATGGTCAGGTTTCTCAAAGAATCTCTGGGCATCACTACAGCAAAAAAGTATGTCAAAATATTTGATCAGATGATACCTTGTCTCCAACCTGTGGGCGAGATGATCCCTCCAGATCTTTTATATGGTATGCCACAGTAAGTTTCACTCCACAGTCTTCGTAGGCGATCACTCCGTCCTCTGGTTCCTACAACGCGACAAACTTATTCAATCCAATATATTGTATAACAATTTGCTATTTTAGAGAATGGAGTGGTTAAGTATATGACCGCGTGGATCAAAATGGCAATCAACAACTCTTAAATAACAATTATCCATGAGCCACATCAAACACACAAGTTAAATGGATCA